CACTACAGCTGCTAATTCTGTTTTGTGTATGATGTATTTTTTTCTCTGGTGGGCTCCATCAGTTGTACTGAGCAACATTAATACTGTTCTGTGTGCTGAAATGAATAGAATATGAAGTGAAAATACAGTTCTTTATTTTTAAAGATACATTTTAATAGAACTAGCTGAAAGTGGTTTTAAATTTGATTTTAAAACAGACAAAATTAGTGATTCCAAAATTTAATGGAAGTAAGATGCTAAATGCAATACTTTAGGGATAATTTTGAACTAAGTGGACTTGTTCAAAAATGTTTAAGCTTTTGAGTTTTGCCTATCATTTTGTTTGAAGAAGGCAAAAACATCTGTAAAAGCTAAATTCTAGATTCTTACCAATAAAAAAACCAGTAATTTATTTCTGAAAAACCACTTCTGTAGAAATGTTTAAATTGCTCCCAGAAGAAAACAAGGGCAGTCATGCTGGTTTGGGCTAATGTTCAATGTAATGAAAGCTGTTGACAGGGAAAGCAAGTTCATGAGCAATTAATTTTATCTTGTCTCACTAGGGTGCTATTGGCATTGTCAAAACAGGAAATTTAATGGAATGGGTTTCACATGCTGCTCAAAGTACAAAGAATTTAAAGACCAAGGGAGTGAAGGAGCTTGCCAATTTTGTTATGCACATCTAAATGAAAAAGTTTTAAAAACTGATTCTATGAAGACATTGCCTAAGGACAAGGCACAATCCTAGCATTAATCTCACTGGCAAATCTAAACATTTTGAATCACATTTCTGAAATAATTTTTAAAAAATCTAAAAAATAAGGCTAAATMCATATGCAGTTTTTTCTAAGCAATAGTTTAGTGTTTATTTTACAAATTATGAAACTGTCAGATAGGACTGTCAGGTAGACTTATCACCATTTTCCATAAAATGCCACATGAACTGCTTTTCTAGATCTGTTATTAAGTTCTTAATCCCTTTGATTGATGCCATCCYGMTGTTGTCCAATGSTAAYTTTTAGTCAGCTTGCAGGTCACAATCTTTCATAGTATGTGAATTGCATGTAGCCAGTTACTTTTATTATTACATGTGATTTCATTTGCATCAGATCTRTTTTCTCTGATAAAATCTTAATGTAAATTCTTTAGAAATTGAGTCATTATTATACAAAAATCAATAGCTAAGCAGAGAATTCAATAATATTTCAGTTTCCTAAAGCAGTGATGTGTCTGTAAGTCCTGATGATCTTGTAGCCTTTCAAGGAAGCTCTGTCATGAATGTGCACTCGTGGATCAAGCAGTAATTTTCACCTGTTACTTCAATAAATCACCCATAACTCYAACACACAAAGCTTTTCAAGAGGTTCACAATAACCAATAACTCASAATAAACAATCTCAGAGTGACCAAGAACCCCTTGGTATCACTGGAGTGTTTGCAGTCACTTTGGAACAGTTCCTGGTTGTTGACAAAATGATGGTTGTTGGAAAACAATTATTTCAAAAATTACAAATTGTCCTGGTGCACAGTAAGTACAGGATTAAGGAGAGATGACTGTAATAAGTATTAATGTGTGCAGAAAAGGAAGGGAATTTGATATTTGCACCATAAATTTATCTATAAGCCCATATCAAACAGCAATAAAACAAAACTCCATCAATCAATCATCCTTACCTATTCAATGCAAAAGCATAATGAAACTTAATGTTGTGTTGATCAGCCAGATCACAGGTAGGAAGCATTTCTAGTGTTTCCACCAGCTTCACCATAGCATCATAGTCCTGGTATGAAATTTAAAAAAAAATATAAAGGATTAAAGTAGAACATCAGCCACTCTGCACTCATTTTGGTTTCTCACAGGTAACTCCATCTACAATTCTGAAGAGTTTACTGATATCCCAAAGGGTCTCTGTTACTTCATCTGTTTGTTCAAAATGTGTTTAGAGATGAGCACATTTCTCAAGGGAGACCTTTCATGATCACCAGAGTTGACCCAAATGAAGTTGGATAAAGTGCTGCAGGAAAATAATGCATTTCAGAATGAAAAGCTGGATAAGGAAGGATGATGTGGAGACCCATTGCTCTCACAACCCATTTATACACAGAAATAGCCAATTAGCTCCTGATGGGAAAAAAACTCTATAGAATGATTAAAATTATATTTGAAATTTAATGTTAAACAGACAGACTGTCAGTTTGGAAAGACAGCATATATGGTGTGCTTCAGCAAAAGCAGAACTTATTTGAAAAAATAAAAACAAGAGAAAAAGGTGCAAACACATTTTTAAAGCAAATTAATGTTTCCTTGAATTGTAGTTCTCAATTTAGGCATCTCTAGCCAATACACTGATCACAACAAATGCATTTTCTTCACTTCTAAATACATCTAACTTTATGGGGGAGGGAGGAAAGGTGGARGAGGGCAAGGCAAGCATCTTAATCCAGTAGGGATTTTTGCTTTTTTTTTCTTTTTAAGGAAGTTAAAGATTACCAAAAACAAAAGAAGAGACCTTGTGAAGTCACCTAATYTGTGTCTCTTGTTCACAGGCAAAATAAATTAAAAGCCTCTATTTCCTTTAATTCCCAACAGTCAAACTGTTAAATAATGTAATATTTGCAACTATTTAGTGTCAGCTTTCAATCACTGTTTAACAAACAATGAAACACAGGAGAACAAGCAAGGGCCAAAATCACATGATAAAATAATCCAATTATTCTTTATGCACATACCTGAATATCTCTGTAAGAAAGGAGCAGGTTGATGACAATGTCAGAGGTCAGCACTTCAGTGTTATCCATCCTAAGCTTAATCCTGGCCAGCTCCTTGGCCAGTTCATCTCCTTGGTACTTCTCTCTAGCTTTTCTAATGTCATTTAGCAGTGTTTCTTTGTAATATGCACTAAAAAGTAAAATATAGACATATGGGAAGAAAACTGCTAGATTTTTCTGATGAAACATGGGTTTATTTCTAATAGAAACTGTAATTTCTAATCAAAAGTACCATTTCCTCAGAGTGAGGTGCACATGAAATGTTTTCATATTTTATAATAACTATTCAGAAATATTCCACCTTGCCCCATCTCAGACTGCAGGGCTATCTATCAATTTGCCTATAACTAGGATGCTGAGGCAATTTTACCAACACAGGAAAACTGGAGCATTTTTGTCCCATTATTGACTGTGACAAACATGGTACTTTGCATCATAAAGAAGGCAGCATTTGGGATAATAAAATGACACAGAGAAGACACACCAGAGTGATGTGAAGAGGAGTTGTATTATATATATAACTATATATAAACTCTACCAGTATATATAAACTCTACCATGAAAGTTGGAAGGGATTGCAAGGACCACAAAAGAAAAATAGCTTTTTAGGCAAGCCTTTCACATGGGTGGGATAGCAATGGGGAAACAGAAAAAAATCCAAGAGTTCTCAGTGCTACCTCATGCTTCAGACACCAGAAAAATTAAAAGCTCAGTTTCTCTGAGTGTTTTCCAGAAATCCATACAGAACAGGACTAGCTGCAGAGTACAGGATGAGCAACTGAGAAAGAAAGTTCTCCTTCTCCAGTCCCCATTCTTGAAATTCCAACAGTCCCTTGCAGTATCAGGTTTATTATGTGATACCAGAAGGTTAATATTTAAAAATTAAATCAAACCATGAAAATCACAATTGATTGCACCCACTGCTGCCATATATATACTCTTTTATTTGATGACAGAAAAGGACAGTGTTTGCTCTGAGCTTTATGAAGAAACTATGAGCTTATTACCACCTTATGCTATTGCACTGTAATTTAAACTTCAGCAATTTACCTTACCCAGACTGCCTTTGCTTACTGGACAGTAACTATAAATCAAATTCTGGCATGATATGGTTAGTTAACTACAACAACTGCAGGACAGAACACAAAAGCAGTAAAGTCAGCAGCATCTTTTAGCACTATACKAAGTGCAGTGAAAAATCAAAAATCAATGCTAATAGAAATTCTGTATATCCCTTTTTCATAAAATCTAAAAGAGACTATCAAAGCCTCTGTTAGGCAAAAAATGTGTTGTGACATTACCATGATGTAACATGGACATCCTTGAGAAGGCTGAGGAATTTGTCCACCAGTGGGACACAGAGTGGTCCCAGGATGTTGTCCCAGTTGGGCTGCATGTACTCTGAGGCTCTCCGTTGGGCATCACTTTCACAGCAAAAATAGTCAGCACAAGGTGTGACAATGTAGGGAATAAAATAATAATTGCCACTGGAAGCCTGAAATAAAAAMAGGCAGAGTTTTGAAAACAAATTAAAATATACTTGTGTATATACACAGCATCTTTTACTGACAGATAAAACAGCTAGAGTAGTGCTGGTGTGTATGAAGTTTTAGTGCACAAGATCTGCAAGTATTAAATTCAAGGATATTTCTGTGGAAGAAYTACAAATATTAACAAAGCTGATGAATAAGGGTCCAGGTCTGTTAAGTAAAATACAACAAAACTGTTCAATTTTTCTTTTAATGTAACACACAGACCTCAGTAGGGTCTGACTGTTGCTAGCTAACATTTTGTTCTCAAATTTCTAGGGTCAGAGATGTACTTGCATCCTCTAGGCTCACTCTGTGCTAGGAGCTCCCCACAGAAAGAAATACAGAAACACAGACACTGGAAGGAATTTCTAGAGATTTTTAATCCAGAGGAGCCTACAAAACATCTGCTGCATGCTAYCATCAAAACCCTAACCAATCAAACCCCCAAACTTCGAATCATTTGTAATAGATATAGGACTTATAACAAAATTTGAGAAGTAAAACCCAAAAAACCTTAATATGCCACATAAAATATGTAAACAAGGTGCTGAGATGGGTGAGGATACAAGAAATGCCTTTCAGAGTCCAAAAACCCCAGAAAGCAGAGCACTGTGAAGTTTTCCACACCTGGGAGAAGCATCTGTTATCTTTTGAGATGATGTGAAGAATGGATATGAAAATGTCACATTTTTGAATGTATCATAGACTAGACAGGAGAAACAGATTGCTCACAGGAAGTTAAAAATGTAGGGCATGCAGTTRCTAATACAACAGACAAAAAAATCTGTATCAGTACATCCTGTTGCTGATTTGAGTTTGTGAGGATTTGGAACTTCAAATTATTTCTAGTAGATAAAGATCAAGTTGCATTTCTTCCTTACAAATACTACAGTACATTATCCCTKTGGTAACAATATAATCTTTTGTTGGATTGGTATCTTTACTTCCTAATAAAAAAACTCAGGAAAACTGCAACCCAACCACCAATATGTTAACACAATTTTGTGTCAGGTTTATTTAAATAAACTGTAAGTTTACTGCTGGCTGTGTATAAAATCTGTTCTTAAACTTGTAACAGCAATTAGCTCTTCCTACAATAAAAATAAATAAATAAATAAATGGGCAATAAAAAAGCCCATCCAATTTAAAAGGGTGATGTGTCTTGTGACACAAAGAGCTGCAGTTATCTACTGAAAAAGCAAAGAAATGTTCAGAAAAAAAAATTAAATTACATATGTGAAACACTGTATTAATTTTAGCCAGCCAACATAACATTTGACTTCTTCTTATGCTCCTCTGATTTTGTTAGTAATGAATTCAATTAATATCTCCAAATCAAGCCTGTTTTGTCCAGTATAGTTTTTGGTAAGTGATTTCTCCAGTCCTTAACTTATAAACCCTTTGATATATTTTCTCTTCTCTGTCTGRCTGCAGAGGGAAATAAGAGCCTGGCTTTGGTGGGTGCCTGGAATCCAGCCAGTGGCAACACACTACAGTGACCAAGATAGTCTAAAAYATATATATTTTATATAAATATATATAAAAAATACTTCCTCTTCTAAAGTTGAATAAATGCAGTATTTTTATATACAGACTGTGAAGAGAGATTATCACCAGACAGACACTTTAAATGCCTGGAACTTAGCTTGCAAGAAGCAAGTACTCCAAAAACCTTGAAGGAAAGACCTTGCCAGGCACTTTTCTTCTATCATCCTTATAGGTTTTTACATGTCTAGAAACACAGTGAGAGAATGTATTCAAAAAAAAAGATATAAAGTGATATAAAGTGATATAAAGTGATACATACTTTGCCTATTAGATTAGCACTGTGGTATTCAGGAGGCACTTGAACACGAAGAAAAGCTTTGAGGTTGGCAGCCTACTCCAAATTGAAATAAAACAACAAAGAGGAAAACACCACCACAAAACAGCACACGAAGCAAAAAGACAGACATGACACGTGAATAAAGAAATAATTAAAGAAAGAAACAACAGAAGATGAATATAGATATTTACAGCAAGACTATATTTACATGGCCAAGAAAACAATCAATACTTTGGCATTTTTCTATCTTATATTTTGGATTTCTCTTATCTATTTACATGATTTCTATGTCTATACATCTCCTTTGTCATCATTAAGATGTTTTCACATCTTACTTTAATGAACCTGTCAGATTCATTATCTGATTAGCTAACTATAATCCAACCATTAAACATTGCTTGAGATGGTAATATTTCCCCAAAAACTAACTTTCATAAATTTTAAAAATCTTAATTTGTATTATCCAAAGTACCAGTGGCATATTTCATTATTAAAAGCATTACAAGTAACATTTACACAGCTACCCATTGCCTTTGTACTATTTTCCACCCAAAAGGGAAAATTATTGAATTTAAAATGTTCCTACACTTTCATTCTGTGCCCTTTCMCAATCTCTTTTAACATTTCTGCTACCTCAGGCCTTTTTCAGAAATATAYCATTAAAAGACCGTATCATATAAAYTTTTATACATTGTAAAAATAATCAGAAAATAAAAAATAGAAAGCTACTCTGCAATAATAATTCTCTGGATTATTAAATTCACATAATGTAATCATACTTTAGAGCCCTGRCTCTCATTTCAATCCACTGGGGCTACTTAACTGGAAAATATGAGTCCAAGTGCCAAAATCTTTCTATTTAGTTTTCTTAAATGTTCCTTGAAATAGTATATACAGTCTAATTTATACAGCTACTGAAACTCCATAGAAACCTTCTGCCAATTCCAATAAAAAGTGATTTTTCAACACAAAAATTCCTTGTGGCAAGGCTAAATTCCAATCCAGTTCCCTTTAGATCAAGGAGAATTTTTGTTAATGACTCCTCCAYGGCCCAGACATTATTCACTGCTTACTCTAAGAGCTGCTACAGGATTTCATGAAAAATAACCATTCAAATCTCTAAAAATACTTCATCAGGCCCACAGGCCTAAGTATATTATAATAAACATTTTGCCACTGCCCCTTTTGCCTTTTACTCCATTTCTGTTATTATCACCAAACGGCTCATTCACAATTCTCCCTCTTGCTCAAAAATGGAAAACTCATTCTCCTGAAATTGTAGCCCAGTTAAGGATAGCAGCATTCACAAACAAAACTGCCACATTCTGAGTCTCCCTTCCCAGAGGCACAGATTTGTAAATGCAGYTCTCACCACACAGCTCAAAGTGATTCAAAGATCCCTGGGACAGCCAGGAAGGATGAKCTGTATTTACATGTGCTAAACCTGACCTATCTTTAGCCTAAATGCAGCACTGGGGCCAAGTCCTAACAGYAGCTCAAAATAAACTGCTGTGACTCATGCATAGTTTGCTTTAAAATTACTATCAAATTCTAAGACCCCTTTATTATTTTAATCCTGCTCAACATGGTTCAAAAGAAAATAAAAGTATATGGTGAATGGGAGGAAACAGAGATGATAAATGGAAGTGTGTTTTGCAAATTCAGYAGTCYTCAAAATAACAGGGTGGAGGATTTMATGARAATAACCACTGACATGATGTGAAGTATGACAAAATATACAACTGGATAAGATATTGTGGCATATTTCAAAAAGCCTTCAATAACTCCTAAGTTTTATCTTGTTTCACACTCACTTGTTTGGTTTTACTTGTGTTAAGTGTAAGAATATTTTTACTTTGGGAAATAAGCTTTTGCATTTCTAGGCAAATCTGTGAATTTGTAAGAAAGAGGACAGGTATGCAGAAGCCAAAGCTTTTTGAGATACACAAGGACACCCCATTAAGGCATCACACACATCTACATTTGCAAAAATGGCTGATAGTGGGAGAGGGAAAAAGAGATTTTGAATTTCTAAGTTTATATTTTCACCTGTCAACCTACAAATAAAACTTTTATCTACTGGCACTTTTCTACAATTTAGAAAGGAATTGGTAAAGTGATTTTAAAATTTAGCTTTATTTTTTGGAGTGTCAATAAGCTTTCCAAAAGTTTGAATTACAGACAGGTAAAACAATTTCCTTCAAACATACAGAACTTATGTATGCCTGGCAGCTTTGTTATTAGACTTGCTTCAAATGCAGGATCTTCATTTTGTGTTTTAAAATGAATGTGGATTTAATACTTACTGTGTTTTTCTGAGATACCATATCCTGTGGGGGGAAAAAAATAATAAAAATGTTTATTTGTTTTGACAGGAATTATTATTTTCAATAACAATCACTGCTATAGAWATACACATAGACACAGACCAGCATATTCCTTCTACTCCCTAATTCTTCTCACCTCAAAATCTGCTGAGAGATATTGAAACTATGAAGCAGATGATAAAGTAATGGCATGTAAACCAGTTCTCTGACATTTCCAGCTGCTGGTAAATAACAAAGTCTTCTTTTTGGTAATGGATTACATGCCCAATGAAACTAAAGTGATATCCAACTAAGCCACACTACAAATATTAGACATAGACTTGTTTCTAATCAAGGATGTCAATATAATTTAATTAAATGTGCTCTGACAACCTGAGATGATGCTGCTTGATTGTGTTTATGCATCCATTTCCTCAACAACATTCAAAAATATCAAGGGCCATTTAAGAGATTYAGTGCTACAAATATGACCCTCTTGAAACACAGATTACATCATCTTTTATATCCTCAGAACAAAGTTGTTTTGGAAAGAACATTGGTGAAACTGAAGAGACAATTTTAGGATGGCTCCTAAGAGATAAACTRTATGAAGGCAGGTTGCCAGAATTTCACAGATCTTCAGCAGAAGTAACAGTAGATACCCATATTGCTTTTATAACACTTTTAGGAGTGTGCACAGCAACCTAGGTCCAAGTAAAGTAATACATTCCTGAAGGGATGCAAAAAAACCCTGTCCAAATTACTCATAAACTTCAGAATAAAGACACATCAGCAGAGAGTCAAAAATACTAAAGGTACTAAAAGGTACTAAAACCTAAACAGAATTTCAAATTAGCTTAAACTCCTTAATCCAAATAAAATAGCTCATAACACAAGTGATGGGAGGCTTAGACAACTGAAATATTACATATCTGAAAATTAATGTCTACCTAGCTAAAGAAGTATCTCCACCAGGGCTTTACCTACTGCAGTTAAAGATCTTTCTCAATAGGGAGAAATTAATTCTGCCAAAATTATTCACTATGATGTGAAATGTATCATTAACTGTTCTTTTCTRAAATGCCCCAAGAACAGTCCCTGCCYAYCTTCTCAGTATTCCTAAGAAAGGAWWYTTATCTGAATKSWATCCAACACTGAACTCAATTGCTGCAGCCACCAAGGACAAGAGGGTAGGACTAAACCCTGCCTCAGTGCCCAGCTTAAATTACTTTAGCACTTGATACAGAGAGCTCTCCTACTTGGCTCCAGTAAATTAAAYCAAGCCCTATGATCCCATCTAAGATATACTACAGGACTATTTAGGCCAAGGAGGTTATGTAAACAACTGGGCAATGAGTAAGATATCAGCGCCACTGACAGAATTCCCAGAAAAAAAAGATGAAGGCAGATACTAGATTTTGTAGCCTTAAGTGACCTAGTTATGTTCCAGTATTCCTCAGTCCCTAGAATTGAGCTTTATATCATAAGCAAAAAAAAAGCCCTGGAACTAGCAGTGCAAAGACTTGCTGGTTCTGAGAACAATCAATCTGCATTTCCCATCACAGATGGATGTAATCCTAGATTTAAGTTATGGAGCAGGTGCTTTGGTTTGTGCTTGGCACAAAATGCAGAAATCAAAGCCACCTTGGTGGGTAGATGACCGGCCTGGGCTTCCCAAACTTTTGCAGATCCTTGGGAGAACCAAGGTGATCAGAATATTTTAGTGACAGCACAAAAGGAAGAAAAATGTGTAATAGCTTAGCATGTGTCTGTACAATAATCTCATTGAGCCAAGAGTGTGACAGACTCCAAGGCTGAGCTCTTGGAATGTGAATGTGGATGTGCACCACCACACAAAGACAGGAACTTTGGGTTGTAAAATCAGTGACACTGAGAGCAGAGAACAGGAATGGGAAGCTCTGTCAGAACAGAAATTTTCTGGAGAAAAAAAAGGAGACAATATTCTTAGAGGATCGAGAGAGGTTGGACAACTCCAAACAGGATTTTTGGACACTGATGATGTGAAAAAAAGCAAAGTAGAAAAGAATAACTCAAAATAAGGAAGAAACAACACAGCATGAACAGTGCTTCTCTAAGTGAGGGTAGCAAGAAAATGGATGAGATTAAAAGCAGCAACAGACAATACAGAGGAGAAATGTGTAAATGTGATTTAAAATAAAGAGAACCTGCACCAAGAAAGACAAAAACATCCACAATATATGACTTGTATCCAGAACAGGATTTAAGTGTATAACAGGTATTATCCTACTATAAAAATAAACAATAGCCCTATAMAAAGATTGGGTGAGGATGTCTTTTYCTATCTTCAAASAGSAATAAAAAAGAGATTCCTGTAATCTTAGCTATTCAGCACCTATGGAATACAAACTTCATCTGACAGAATTGCTTAAATAGGAGAARGTTGCAACACAGCCCTTCTTCAAGTGCTCTTATCAGACAGGCCATAACTTTTTCTTACATGTACTCTCATTAAAAGAGGGAAAGAAAGGAAAAAATCAGACCTGCACTCTCAATTTCAAGTTTAACCACCTAAAGCAAAATCAGTACCACACTATGGATCTTTTCTTACAAAAAAGCATTTATACTCTTCCATTACTACTATTTTTGCTACTAGCTTTTTCTTAGCATGGTTTTGTTATGTAGCTATCAGGAATTTACATTAAATCTAAGTTTCAGAAAAACACAGACATTTGTAGGATCAGGTGCTTAAATATATTTYTGAAATGAAGCTGATGGTGAAGTGAGAGCCTTACTTTGAGAGACTGAGCAGTGTCAGCATCAGTGTCATGGTAAAGAATAACATTATTGGCCATGTCAAAGCTTTCACGCACRCCAAGGTGGTAGAACAGGGATGGCTGCTTGGAAATATCACTCATGTCCACAACTGCAACATCTGAAATGAGAGAAGTGGAAAAGAAGAGAAAATGCTAAAAAAATAATAATWATTTTAAACCAAATTTTATTCTTACATGGGCTTTAAAACAAATGCTGAAATAATACACACACTGGACAGACAAAATCAACATTTTCAAATAAGGATCATTTTCTCATCAGAGAAGTAAATTTTACCATTGATATAAAAGATGAGCCACTCATGAGATTATCAGTGTTACTGTAAGTGGGAGGCTGAGTTTACCAATCCTATGTGAGGTTTTGAAATCACAGCATCAGGAATGCCTTGGGTAAAAAAGCAATTTTGCATTTATTCCCTRAGGCCTGACAGCATGAACACCCATAGGATACAAGCTTCAAATATTCAGGTGGAACCTCTAAAATAATAATGTAGCAGAAAAACAGGGAAAACTATGAGAATAAGTTTATTTTAAGAGGTTGAARTTTGAAGAATGGGAAATTCCTAAAGAGTAGAAAAAGAAACTATTGTGAAAGTTGACTCTTAAAAAGCTCCAGGCAAGATGTCCAAGATAGGGGGTGCAGCAACGAGGGAATTCAACCACAAACAGCCAGAGCAAGATTTCCACTGCTCTTGGTTAATGTTTCAGTCAGAAATGGAAGTCAGAAATGCAATAATAAACATTTACATCCATGCAAGATGAGCTATACAGAGAGCTAAAGAGAAATACCCGACATTATACAGAATACAACTGGGATACAGGCAAAAGATTCTGAGTTCACCATTTTGCAATCAAATAAACCTGAACACCAATGCAGGAAGAAGGGGGAAACTGGAAAAGAGGACACTAAATGCTGAGTTTTTACTTCTTGATCCTTATATGCTATATATTCCTAAGTAAATTCTGCTTTAAAGTTTTTTAAAGGTCTGTATTTATATGCTAATCACCACTATGGGACAGATGGGTGAATTGAAATCCAAAGTATTCATTAGAATAGAGCCTTGGCATTGAAACCACAGGGGAGTCTGAGGCTCAGAACAGATTCCAGTGGGCAGTAAATGCCCCAAATCTGAAGAGGTAACATACAGGGACACACAGAAGGGTGAGCTACTACTAAAGGAGAAATCTAAGAGGTCTGATGGCTCAGAGCCAAATGCAGCAGCCAAGGTTACACATCACAAGAATCACTATTCCATACTTAGTATGCAGCTTCTTGGAAAAACCTGCCATGAATATATGSTCCWGTACAATTCCATCAGGCTGTCCTGMCRCAGCACAYRGAGCTCAGCCAGGCCCTATGGTTACTGCACACAGGTTTGAGTCTRAAACCTGCCTTAAGACCAAAACATCACTGGTCAAGAGCAAAACCAAACAAAAAAACCCACYAAACCCCAAAAAAATCCCAAACCCTAATAAAACACACAAAAAAATCCAAATGCACCTCCCTCCCCTGCCAAAGAAACAAAACCCCCACACAAAGTCATGGCATAAGAAAATTCTCTTATTCATGTARAACTCTTATCCTGCATCATCTACTRAAGATYTTCTAAGTTCCYRTTCAGCACAGCACCCTGCACACTGTAGTGTCATGTAAACTGAGAGAGCTTGAAGAAATAAACTCCAGTTCCAGAAACACTAAATCTAGATTACCCCAAAATTTTAAAATAATTTGGAAAATATAAATGATTTATAAAACAAAAGTTAAGAGAAACTAACAAGCAGACTGAGAATCAAATATAATCTAGGGAAAAAAATTAAGAGCTTGAATTGTTTTAGAGCTGGTGTTAGAGTGTTTTTATGGAATCACAGTACTGTGAAATCAAAACCTTCATCCAGGTAAAAGAATTCAGACAGTGCATTCTACAGTGTAGAGAGATTGCACTTTACAATACAATGTGAGCAATGATTTGTAACAGAGTTCATTGAAACAAGGCTATACACAGTTCATTGCCACATCTACTCTAYAACTGAAATGTGTCTTCTGTTGCCTGGTGCTCCAGAACAATGTGAGTGGTATGAAAAACATGTGAAAGGGACAGAAGTAAGCATCCCCATTAAAAAGGATAATTATTCATCACTTAGATATTAATTCACACTGCTAAAAAGATTATGAGAACAGGTTTATCTTGCTTACTCCCACCTCACAAACACATGTGTTAGTAAGATAAAATTAAAATTAAACAAATCCAAGTGTAACAGAGATGAAGACAGTATCACAAAAATACCCATGCAAGTGAAAAAAAAAGCCCCAGGAAGATAACTGAGTGGATTCAGTTTAACCACAGGAATCAGGGAATGACACACAAGCAAATGACAGCAGACAGAAGCAGAGCATCCAAAGTGCTCCTGGCTGTGATACAGAGCAGAGATGAGAATGTGCATTCCTACAGAGCTCTCCTGCTGCAGTGCCTTGAACAGGGAGGAAAAAGATTTACTTATAAACCARCTTTACTAAAGTGCTAAAGAAATGCAGAACGAGTACAGTGGACCATGAAATTTGTACAAATTTGGGTGGAGAATATATGACCACAGTAAACACTTAGTAAAGCAGTAGATCCCTGAAATGCACCCTGTGCTCAGTGATGGCTGGGTCTAACCACACTCCCCAGAACTGCTGTTTCCAGGGGTACATCCCTCTTTGTGTGAGTCACATCATGAACAAAGATAATATGTGACACCACAAATACCTCTGGTTCAGTTAGCTCACAAAAATTCTTCATTCTTCCCAGAACTTCTGGACTTCCCTTGCCAAATTGAGGTTCAACCTCTTCCACTCCAGACAGGGGTGAAGCAAAAGAGCCAATGCCAACTTTTATCAAATCTTATTAAGCATGAAAATTTGATGTAACAATGATGTATTTCACAATCAGACCAACAGCCAGGGTTTCCTGTGTTCACAAGGAAAGAAGGCAGAGGAAAGTACAGCCCCTCTGTAAAACCAGAAGAATTCAAGTGAAAATCTGTCCAGTGTATCCACCAGACGGGGTGGAGGGGTGAGGATATGCTTAATGTTGCATATGACCAATTTTGAATGATTCTGGAACAGAACATTTAAACCCATTCCTTCTTTCCTACAGTAGCAACTCACATTCAAAAGAACATATCCATAAAAACACGTCCTCTCTCGTTTTTTCTTCTTAAGCATTACAGATATTTTCAACTCTTTGTTCTCATGAAACTATTTTCATCCTGCAAACAGTTCACTTTTGYCATGAACCCAAAATCTGATCTCAATTATGTGATTGCAGTTCATTTGTCTAGGCTTTTGTTTCTATTGTAAAATGATTATGGTATGTGTGTATTTGTAGTGCATTAAGGTAATTCAGCAATATTGCTTCTACAATCTCAATTAGGTCTCTGCATTGTTGCAGCAGATGGCACAKAATTCATTTCCTATAGTACAGTTTACATATTTTAACACCAGTGTATCTTAAAAGAGCAGACAACTGTGACAACTGAAATGAAGATTAGAGATCATTAACTGGCAAAACAAGAGACTATAAAACTAATAAATAATTCAACAGGAAAAACATTATTATACAGATTAAAAACAGAGGACTTATTTCTCTATCTGAAATGCACTTGAAGACATATTTTAATGATCCAAGCAAATCACAAGTCTTCATATGGCTTTTTTATGATATATGGCACTGTTAGCAAAACCAAAAGGACAACTTTGGCATCAGGTTTTGGGATCTGTAAGTTAAAAAGCAATGAGCAGGAGAAAATGAAGAAATAGCCTGAAACATGCGGATAGTTAAATATAATCTAGGAGGCCTAACAGAAGAAAAATTSATAAAAGGTCTGTACTGCTCTCAGCTTTAATCTAAGACTCACCTGCATCCAGCCTTATCCACGTGCAGAGTACATTATTCCATTATTTTGGATTCATTATTTTGCAGCATTTGGAAACTTTCTATACGAAACAAATTTAAAAAATGTGTTACTCCCATGGTAATGGAAACTTTATTGGAGGAAAATGCAGAACTCAGCCCACTGCCATTCACTAGCATCCTGCGAATTATGAACCTTTATATTAGTATTGCTTCAGCTGATTGGCTTTTTGCATCAGAGTTAGTAAAAAATGTGTAACTCCTTGAAAACCACTGAAGAAATTCTGAATTCTTCACTGAATTCTTCACAAGAACAACCATACTCCTAAAGAAAAAGAAACTAAAAATCCTTAACTTCAGGAGACACATTCATTTTGATTTCTGCACAGTCCTTTAAGGAGACAATACCAATGTTTTTACATAGGGAAACAATTATGGCAAAACTTGATTAATTTAAAAAATGGGAACCCTTCGCAGCTTTCACTTATGCTAAAACAAAATGCACGTCCCTTTCAACTGTAATAATCTTACACTCCCAGAGTAAAGCTCAAGGTAATAAAGCATATTTAGAGCAACTACCAAAACTATTGAGGTGATTTTTCAGCAATTTGTTATACAGCAAACTGTCAGTGCCTTCCATCAGATCCTAGGCAAAAGCCAATGCTAGTATAAAAATACTGTCAACATATGTGATGATATTACAGCTCTCATAATTAATCAAGTTTCATTTAAATCTTACTGCTGTATAATCATGGTATCCTGTAAAAATCTGCTTACTTTTTGTAGAAAAAATATTGTTCCAATCACAATCTAAAGAACCAAATTAAACCCAGAAATTGCCTTAGAAGCTGAAAGACACAGCAGACAGAGATGCAGCTCTTTTTTTTTTAAATTTAGGAATTTCTGGTGTTTCAGATCAACCTTTCCAAGTTTGCAATATTATAGCAAGAACTTTGCTAACATCACTGGTTTACTATAGGGACAGAATTAGTTATAAAAATAAAAAAAACCAATTCATTAGTAATGATTTATCCTGAGATAAAGACTTGTATATGCTATAATCACATTAAATGGCATTTTAAAAACACCTTCACACATTTCAGACTAAGCTTATCTTCTTGTAGATTAAAACCRAGTGCTGCACTACTGCATAAATACTAAAATTGAAATTAACTGTAACGGTTCAGAAATTGCTCATAAAGCCACTT